CTGTAACACACACTCATAAGCACCAAGCACAAACACAGGCAAAGCTCTATCTCTCATACACACACACAAACACACACACACACACACACACACACACACACACACACACACACACACACACACACACACACACCTCTCATTCGCGCGTGCGCATACATACACACACACACTGCAACAAACAAGCTAAACACAGCATCGCGCTATTTAATTTACACACATACATACGCGTGCTCACTCGGGAGTCGGCAGCGTTATTGCTAGACAGCCCGCTCCCGTCCCAAATTAAACCCGTTACAGACCGCTCCCGTGATTTATTCGGAAATTTATACCCGCGCCGTAGAAATCTGGTCGGGTCCCGCGGCGCCCGCGGGAATGCAGACCTCTACTGTGAATCTGACAACATGAAAATAAGTATAAGAATGGCCTGCATTGATCACTTTTGTCCGTCTCATCCTCTGCACGAGCATGAATTAACGAGCTGCCGCTGGACATCACTGAAGCGGAGAAAGTAACACTAGTTTGATCATGTATATATATCATTATAACTATATTGTATAAATATTATTATAACTAGGTCTACAGCAACCTGATAATCAAAAAACAAATGACATGATATCACAGGCGATTGTCCTCTGACTCTAGACACTTCTCATATAAGTTAGCTTGAGAAGCATACAGCACTATTTACTCTATAATATTAGTAAAATAAACATTTGCAGGTTAAAGAAACAGCATAGGAGGGGCCTTGCTGCAGATGAAAAGTTTAAAAAGTGTATTTGTATATAGAGAGACATGGGTAACTAGATAGAATAGACAGAGATAGGTTGATCTCTGCAGCAGCTGCCGAAGAGCTGCGCGCTGCAGACGCAGCTGGTGTGAAAGGCAAACGCTGACGCTTGCGGTGTGAAACAGGCGTAAAGGGAGTGGTCGGGAACCTATGGCTCGCGAGCCTGATGTGGCTCCTTGACCAAAATGACGCGTCTCTCCTGCTGTCTCCTTTCAATAATGTTTTACAGTTTAAAAAATGACAATTGTCACTAGAAATCAGTTTCCTTGTGAAAATACAGTCTGTGTGCACAAATTCAAACAACATTCATTCGTGAGTGGTGCTGGCGGAAATAAAGGAAAGTCTGAGGAACGTTTGAAAGTCGAGGTCTGCATTAAACTTCAGAATAAAGCGCGGGAGCAGTCGCTAACTGTGATTTTGGACGGGAGCGGGCGGTCTAACTATATCGCTGCCGACTCCCGAGAGGGCGAGCACACGTATGTATGTGTGTGAATGAGAGAGCATGATGCTGTGTTTAGCTTGTTCGTTGGTGTGTGTGTGTGT